ATTCTGTAGCATCTACTACTTCTTTTTTATATGTTTACATATATAAGAAGGAGTCAAAGTCGGAGTTATTAAAATTCCAGGAGTCGGAGTCGGTCATTTTCCCTACCAACTCCACAGCCCTGGTTTCGAGGGCTGTAGAATCACATTTGTGACTGCATTTTGATTCATTTACAGTTGCTTGAGGGAATTAACATCTGTTGAATGGAGAAACGAACAGCTGAATATGGCCAATAAAATAATAAAAGACTGGAACAATTACTTGCAGGAAATTTGAATTCAGAGCATTTTAAATAGAGCTTCCAGTAAAACTGAAAGGCCTAACATAACAGTAGAAATCAACAAACCCTGTTTTAAGAGGTGCAAAAATGAAGTAGGTTGAATACTTATACAGCAGCAGCCATTTGGTAGACTGTATAAGGATTGGATTGGATTGGATTATTCAATTACGGCAAAGCACACGGGGCTATCTGCCTAAAGGGAGGGATGCCTTCGTGGAGGACTTTCTAAGGGAAACTGGCTCGTATATACGTTACACATGGGGAAAACCACGAAAACGCCCATGCAGCCAGCCCGTTCGCGGGATTCGAACCTCAGACTGAACTACCAGCGTCTTTACCGCTCGGCCGCTGGTGGGCCGTAGGCTGTATAAGAAGAATGATGAATGTTTTATTGTAAGAGTTGTAGACAGAAGCTCAAATTTCGCAGGAACAACTGACACACATTCCTTTGGGAGGATATCTGTCAAATTTCATGGTTAGATGGCAGATAACTTTCACAGTCTACAGAATAATACATAAATACCTCATGTTATTTTTATAGAATTTCATTCAATACCAAAAATGGCTAACAATACGCATGGGAAAATGATCACTGCAAGAACAACAGACCAAAGTTCTGAGGTAGTTCGAGATTACTTTAGAGACATTTCTGTAAGTAATAACAATTCTGCAAAACATTCATTTGTTCAGTATATTTGTCAAAAAAAATAAAGAATGGAAAAAATTACCTTTAATACATCCCTAGATAAATCTTCTTCAGTCTCTATTTTGAGAATAAATCTCACTCCGTATGGTTCGATACCAGATCCACTCTTTACTTCATTCGTTTTATGCCCACAAGCATCACAGGTAGTAGCCATAATGACAACATCTTTAAAATGAGGTATTTTTATGAAAAGAGTTAAGGTATTTTAACAAAAGTAAATGTAACAGAAAATATTAACAACAAAAAAAAAAAAAAATTTGAAAGGTTTCAGATTTTAAATTACGTCCAGAGTTTTTTTTTTTTTTTTTTTTACATTTTGTGTGCTACCTTTATTTATTAAATATCAAGTTCTTCGAACTTAAACCATAAAATTCAGTTCCACAGCAATATCACCAAATAATTTTAAACTGAGCATACACAGTCTCACGTGCTGGAGATAAAAATGTTTTTTCTGTACAATGTTGCCATTGCTCACTTTGAAATGCTTGATTTTGTTAATCAGGAAATCGATAATAAAACCAATTCCAATTCCAAATTTCAAATTTGGGCTCCCAGATGCTCATATTCGCAATAGGATTACATAATCCAAAATTTGATGGCTGTAGGTACTGTTGTTTTATCACAATGCGTGAAACATAGATACATTTATGCAGATTCTTCATTACTTGAACTTAATTTACTTGGATTTTCTGTAACAAGCCAAATATATCATTTCTAAATCCTCACTAGAAATACACAAGTATATTTAGCATTCAACACAGAGTACAAGGTATTGAATCTTCTCTTTTCTACTTATTTTATCATATGACCTCTACTTTATCAAATGAAGCCACAAATTTTAAGAAATATAATAGTTAGTAACAACACAATTTAGAAAAAGCTAACTATATTTCAAAAACAAAAGCAATTTGAAGCAGCACATTTTAAAAATTGTGGCATCCCACAGCAGTTAAAAATTTGGCGACTTGAATAAGCATAAAAGAAAATGAAAATACCAGTATAAATTCTCTGGATCTTCTACATGGAAGATTTGGGTTTTTACATGGAAGAATGTTAACTGAAATTAAAAGTTGTAAATTTATAAACTTTCATAATTTTATAAACTGTCTTGTAAATTAACTACATAAAAATACTTTACAAATTTTACACATTTAAAATTTACTTACTTTCTTATGTAGATAAAACAATTTTAACAGAAAAATTTTCCTTAAATTTTTGTATCAAGAAATGAATTTTAATACTCAAAATGAACTATGCACCTCCTTTTCTCCTACAAAAACACAATGTGCATCGTTGATTATTTCGGATTTATAGGTCAGTTTGTATAAAACACCACATGCCATCATAAAAACAAAGTATAATTTAATGAAAATACAAAAAACCAAAAATTAACAGAATTTTTTGGTTAGAAAATACTACCTCAGAAACTCTAGAAATATTGAATACAACTTATGATGAATAAGGTGTTACTAACTATTATATTTCTTAAAATTTGTGGCTTCATTTGATAAAGTAGAGGTCATATGATAAAATAAGTAGAAAAGAGAAGATTCAATACCTTGTACTCTGTGTTGAATGCTAAACATACTTGTGTATTTCTAGTGAGGATTTAGAAATGATATATTTCGCAAAACTCTGAATAGCAAATTTTTTTATAAAGAATATGAAGTATTAACAAAAGAAGACAATAAATTGGAAGGCCTTCACCTTCCAGGAACAACAGTAATTTGTTTCTTGAAGATTTCACAATGAACACAAAGCAATCGACAGTTAATGGTCAAAATTTTATCAAAAACCTTTAAGTAATAGAAATGAGAACTACTTCTTTTAATATGATCCTGAAACAAAGATAGTATGCTCAAAAGCAAATAACATTGTCCCTTACAAAGACCAAAGCACAGACCAATCTTTTCAAGATTAAATGCATACTAAATCCTTTTCTGGCTCAAAAGGCTCAGAACGGACACCACAGGGTTACAGGAACGGAAAAAAATAATTTATTTGCTCTGAGAGAATACTTCAAACTACACAGCCATTATCATCAAAGATTATTTAATAAACCAACAAATTAATGCCCTGAAAATTATTTCTTTTTCTTTGAATTAAAAAAAATCCTTGAAATGTCATAAAATTAAAGGTGCCAGTGTCTGTGCACCTGCACACCATTTATGAAAATAAAATTCAGAAAATTTTTTTAAAAAAAATTTAAAGCATAAATTCAAATTTAAGCAAGAAATTGAGACATATTTGAATATTTTAAGGAACTGTGGGAAGGGTGGCACTCTTATCATAAAAAAATGAGAGAAATTAAATTTACTTTTACATATATACAGCAAATGTTTCAGTTTACCAAAAAGAAATTTCAAAACCTATTTCATATCATTTATAAACTTCTTTAAATTTCACAATCTGGACACTAAAAAACTGCCGAACATGAAAGGCAAACACATTTTAAAACAGGAGAAATGAGAAAAAAGAACATTCGTTGCCATGCTAATTTCCTTAAATTGGAATAATCTTTCAAATAATGTGATTTTAGTAAACTGTAATTACTGTAATGATATCATATAATAAATTATTACGTTCATTAAAAATAATTATCCCAAAATTCCCAAATCACTAAATTAATATTTTCATAGTCAAACTGGTTTTAAAATTGCCAAAATTTTGATAAGCCACCAAATCTAGCAATGAGCAAAAAGGAAAGAACTTGTCATCGATACCATAAAAAGAATGATTTCAAGCAATAACTTACATATTCACAAAAAAATATGTGCTTAATATGCAGATTTGACAACAAACTGCTACATGGCACAAGTTTTTGCATCTTTAGAAAATACTGAAAATATCCAAAAATTAATTTTGCACACAAGATTATACAATTTGAATATGTTTCACAAAAATTACAAAAAATGTATTCAATTTCTTAGATATGAGAATCTGATGAGGACCTTGAAAAGTATTTAAAAAAAGGCCATCAAAAATATTTTATAGCTTTAAGAAGAGCTGGGAAAGATGCATATTTTCACAAGGGATGACACTATTTATAGAATTTTAACAGCATCCTATTTACAGTATTTTGAAGGTGACCTATGAAATAATTTGCAAGTGCAGTATAAGTACAAATTTTATATGATTATAGGAACTTATATCATTATAGTGCAGTATAAGTATAAATTTTATATCATTATAGGATGCTTATAAATCAATTCTCCTTCATTCAAGAAAAACTTTGCCTTCTTTAATGTAGCATACTCATGTGATTAACATAATTATTATTATGTAGTAAAAATTATTTCTGCAAGACAGATAAAAGAATACAGCAAACAATAGTACTCTATACAGTCAAAAGTTTTTAATCCGAACTCGTCGGGACTTCAGCGATTCCGGATTATCGGTTTTTCGGGATTATAGATCATCAGTTTAAATCTGGTAAGATGGCATGCAGAAATTATAAAATTAAAAATATGAAACCGTAATTTATGATATAAAGAGCAATTATGATCTAAAGGGTATCAAAGTTTACAAAAAAAAAAAAAAAAAAAAAAAAAAAGCTTAATATTTATTTGTTTACTTTATTAAACATTTCTTTCAACATGCGCATGCGTAAAGCATACATTACACATAGTCGAAATTGGAAAATTGCAACCAGAAAACTATTTGATGTGTATTTGTGATATTTATAACGACGAGGAATTTGATTTAAATCATATCAAAGACAGAGTACATCAAGATGAAATACTACATTTAGTAAGGAATTATAAGCCGAATAAATAAAAACATCTGCCCTGAAAATAAGGATAGTGCTGACAGATCAACTTCCAGTTCATTGCGCACCGCGACGTCCCCCCCCCCGCAGAGCAGCGTGAAATTGATAAACAGATTTTGGAATGGTTAGAGAAACAAAGGATATGCCTTTATCCATTTTTTGTTTGATGGACACTGAAACATGCTTTTGCTTTGCAGATCCTTTGGCAGCTCCAGAATCGAAAACTCTTTTTGACATAATCGAAAGTTCAAGCTTACTTTTATAAAATTGCTCTAACAGTCTGCAAAAAATAATAAGCCAGATCCAATTAGAAGATTAAGGAACAACCACAATCTGCAACATTAACTGAAATAGATGATTAGATACTTTTAGCTTAGCTTATACCATCCGTTACACATTAAACATGCATGCATAAAGTTATTATGTGCATGCGTAAAGGTATTATGCGCATGCACAAGTGCATTATGCGTTTACGCACGTGCAGAAAGTTTGTAGCTTTGAGGTCCGGATTATGGACGTCCGTATTAAAGACTTTCGACTGTATTACTACATAACAGTATAATAATTAATACCACAAAATAAAACAATGTAACATATAGAATCTCCAAAATTCTTTAAAAGAGAAATGCACCAGGACACAGAAACACAAATTAAGAAGTCTTATTCCGTAACAGAATAAAACTAGTATAATTTTTTTGTTTGTTTGTTTCTGTTTCATGCATGGAACATGAAATTTCAATAAACAAATTAATGAACCTTCCCTTGCCCTCATTTGTTAAGTTCCCACACACTTAACTTACCTGGAAAAAAATCAGGTATAGTAGTTCTGCTGTTTAACTATCTTATGTATTATGTATTCATCAAAGCAGTTTGAAATAATTAACCCACAATAAAAAAAAAAAATGAAATTTTAAAAAAAATTCCCTCTTTTTTTCACCTGAATGGCTTTAGATTTTAACGGTCACCTAAATGAGCTCTTTTAAAGTTTAATGTGGTTCCAGAAAGGATTATCAATAAGAGATGGTTCATATGGAAGAGCAAAACATTTTATAGGATATTATAAGAATATACATTTAGACTAACTTGGGAATACTATAAATCTTCTATATATCTGAAATGTGAAAAAATACATAGCATCATTCTATAAAAGTATTTAATATTTTTTTATTAAATACTAGCTGTTACATGGCATGCATTGCAGTGCTACTTAAAGGAAAGAAAGTATTTTTGTTTTAATTCTGCTATGCAATTTTTTCTTTATGAGTATTCTACATGATTTGATTAGCTTGTGTCACCTGATTACCAGGGCTGATATTGGTTCAGGTGGTGAATTTAATTCTGGCAGTTTGACTTTTCCATTCGCACAGCACATTTCTGGTTATTCATTCTTAAATTTGAGGGCTCTGCAATTACATGCATAACTTAGTCATTTTTACAATAGCCACACTTGAATGAAGACTGTAATCATAATTAGCATCATAACAGAATGCACCAAGATATAAATCAGCATGCAGTATTTGTCTGGATTGAGCAGTGCATACTCGAATGTTTTTCAGTTTTCTTCCTTTTCCATTGCTCGTCTATTTCAGACAAACAGGCATGATCACTGCATACTTGAACATTTCCCAATCTTGCTTCTCGTTGCTTGTCTGTTTCAGAAGAACAGACAAACTTCAGCAATGCGTATTCAAACGTTTTCCAGTCTTGCTTCTCATTGCTCATTTGTTTCATATGAATAAGCCTGAGCACTGCATACTCAAATGTTTTACAGTCATGTTTCCAGCTGCTCATTTGTTTCTGAAGCTCATAGTGTTTTTCTTTTCATGCTTGAGGTGTAGATTGAGCAATTGATTTTCATTTCAGTGATATACTTGATTTCACAGAAAAAGTAATGTTTTGTGCTATTAAAAATTCACTTTCAAAAAGCAAAGAAAATGCATGTGACACAATAACATGCCTTTTAATGTGTGAAAAATTAAATATTTTACATTTTGTTGAAATTTAAATGCTTTGCTGCTTACTTTAACTGTTTTGCTGAACACACTTTAAAATATTTTTAGCTGGGCAGTGGTAAGACATTTCTCTTAAAGAGTCAAGTTTCTTTATTAAATTTGAAACAAATTAATATAATTGCATTTTCCCAAGAGACAAGACAAGTTTTTTACTTAACCGAGTTTTCTGATTAAACATATATATCTTGCGCTTTGCAGAGTGGCAATGCAAAGCCTTTAAATCACTAAGTTTTTAATGAAAAGTTTGTTAAGTTAGCACAAAATATATTTATATAGATATCATGATCTCAATTAATTTTTATTTAAATCAATCAATTCAAAGAAAGTAATTTTAAAAACTGCATTTAATGCTTTTAAATAGCTTAGTTTGTTAATCCATAACAGACAGATTCAATATGAAAGAAAAACCTCTTGCACTTTGCTCAATGGCAAAAGAAATAAAAAGTGAAACAATGCAAAACCATGTTTTAAGACAAAGGACTCTTTTAGGCTAAAAGTGATCCTTCAGTCTTTACATAAACTGATATATACACCAAACTTTAAAATGATCTTGCATCATAGAGAATTCTTAAATTTTCAAACCTTAAGTCATATTCCATGAAGACCATCAAATGGCTTATCGCCCCATCCTAGTCTTCAAGTAAAGCAACTGCAGTAATATGAAGATTTAAAAGGTTTAAAATGAACCTTTTTATTTAAACTTCAATTTAACAAATGCACTGCTTATTCCTTACAAAATCAGTCTCAGTGGCTTGCTGAAGACAATTTAACTCTTAACTGAAGAAGATTTAGCATGAAGTCAGCATTGTTACCAAAAGCTCACTTCAAGAACTCTGTTCTTATATAACACATGTTAATTAATTTGCATCCTAGTGGGAGCTGAAAAAGTAGAAGTAACAGTAAAGATAAAGAGTTGATAAACATAAAAAATTGCAGAATTTTTACTCTATGTCCTTAGCATGGTAGGCACTCTATATCTGAAGCATATTTTACTACTACCAATGTAACATAATTTGTTTCAAATGTACTGTTATAACAGCAGAATAATACATCGAACAATAACACAGTGACTGAAATTACAAAATGAACACTAATACACTTGCATATTAAAAAAGGATATGAGTTAATTTCATGTTTGTCACACATGGGGCATTGCAAGAATAACAGTTCGTAGGAAGGCCCAAAACTTCATCCTTAAGATTACTTTCCTCATACGCTTGTGTATGTGATTCAGTTTTGTTTTCCTTAGTGTCAGCATTAAGTGCCTATCATAACAAAAAATGTTGCACTGCCAAGATATAAAATATAGCTATTGTAAATTCAAATGAATTAGTTAGCTTTAAAGATAAAATTATTTTAAAGCCAATGGTGTACTTACATATAACCCAAGCATCAAATTTTCTTCTCGAGATCTTTCAAACTGTGATACTTCTAATTGAGGATCTGGCAGTGGTGCACAACTTTATTCAAATTAAGGAAAACAATCAAAATGATAAAAATAATTTTTTTGAACACTCAAAAGAAATGCCACACAAACACAGTATGCATAACCATGTCAAATTATCAACAGCAAATCAAATGTTCAATAGATTTAACATGATTATTTAAATTATAAGTAAAAAGAAATTAAAGTTTATCCCCCATATGTTACCACAGCATCATCTTTTCTGTTAAAAGTTCTTTTTGATACCACACGAATATTTACTTTAATAGCTTTGACATCAGTGCAAACTATACACTTCACAGGCTATTACTCATCTTTCATTTTACACTAACACAAATTATCCAAAATAATCTAATGTTCACTGTTATCTATTTGTGTTCAATGAATATAACAAATCTGCTTATCATATTGTCCTTCACTGCATAAGTTATGGAAGTAGTCCATTAATCAAAAACGTATTTTTGCATAACCAAAAATCAAGAACCCGAAGATGACTAAATTTTCTGCCATTTTTTTTTTTTTTTTTTTTAAATACATTTGGCTCTCCATTCTACAGCCTTGTGTAAGATCATAGCATTAAAAATGCAATTTGCACCTACCTTTTATTTGTTATAGATTGGAAAAAAAAAAAAAAAAAAAACTTTAATTTTTATTTGTTTCATAACTATAAAATTCCACAGGTAATCTGCAGAACTAATCAAATCTTTTTCTGCAATTTCAGGCTTAGTCAAAATGTGAGCATTCGCTTGTTTTAAAACTTATTTCTTTTCATTCACAGAAAAAGAAATTCTCTTCTTTATATTTAACATAGTTAATAAATTAAAACCTACCAAATAAAAAGACAACAATACACACTTTAGAAGTTTTAGGTGAGAATGAAAAACCTTGAATACACAAGCAGAATATTTTTTACACTACAAGATAAAATGTTGATCCAATCATTTTTAAGCAGAAAGCAACTTTGAAATAATTTCAGCAACGGCTACTAATCGTCTTTTCAATTTTCAATTCAAAGCAGCAGCAAATTTCTGGTTCCTTTTCATTATCAACTTGAAAATTCCCAGCCAAATGATTTGAAAATTCTAGTATTAAATTTATTCCAAATTTTTTCATCTCCCTCGCCCTCTCCATTTAGAATTAATAAAAATAAACAGTAAAAATAAAAAGAGAACACAAGTTCAAAAAAAAAAAAAAAAAAGAGAGAGAATGTGTAAGTTTGTAAATCAGCGAAGAAAGTGGCATTAATTTTATGGGCTACTTTTTGAGGTGATCGACACACAAAAATCAGGAAACCTGATTAAAAAAATAAGTAATTAGCAAAAGTTTCTTAGGAGTTCACTGTATTCTGTAATTCAGGTATAACTAATCTACTATATCTTAATATTAGAAGAGTTACAGAATTTTTTTTTTTTTTTTTACTTCTGTAGAACAGGGAACTGAGTCTAATCCCCCTCAAAATCATTAATATTTTATTCAAAATCTGTTACCAAACAAAAGCTACTATTACAGATCCATTTGTTTTGGACAAATGTTTTATATCATGTGACAAAACAGAAAAGTTGTACTAATCGGCCTGTTCTTCCAAAATTTTATGAATGTGTAACACAACTGCCTTTTTGCCTAATTTTAATTACTTTATATGTCATTAGTTGCCCGTTATAATTTTCTTAATATTTTTAACATTATATTAGTTCTAACTTGAAGATTCAAGGTGATTCTATAAGATATTTCAAAGGAATTACATTAATTTCCATAATTAAAAAGAAATTGTTAAAGGCTATATTCTCATTTTAAAATAAATATGTTAACTCGAATATAATTATAAATCAGGGCTGCTAAAATTTCTGAGACATTAGGATTTCTTATTCAGGAATGACCCCCTATTGAAATTCTGACATGTTATCTAAATATAACATATAAAAATTGAAGGGAATCTATGTAACTTACTAGAAAATAAAATTTCATAATCACAGACAGTGAGCATTCAAGGCAAACACAATAAGACAACCAGTTTAACTTCACAGATCACATTTATCTACACTCATTGTGGTTTCCTATCATCATGTACACGAATACGCATTCTTATAAACTTAAATATTACTTAGTAACTACATTAAAGGATACATGTTTTCCAAGAAACTGTTGCCAGAACAATCTCGCAACACCTGAATGAAAAGGAAAATAATTATTCTTTCAAAATATTCACTATATGATTTATTTCTAAAAAAAGGTAAGCCTTATACTTTAATCAAAATACCAAAGTTTAGGAAGGACAGATTGATGTAAACATATACTATTTATTTATTAAAACACCAATTTATTTCAGAAAGCAATTTATTATAACTATACATAACATATTAGTTTATAACTATGTTAAAGGATATATAGTGGAATGACAATTCTAAATTTCTTCTGAATGAACGTCCTTTTCAACCAATTCAATTCAGCTAAGTTACGTTATGTTAAATTACTTTAATTGAAGCTGATAACAGTTTTACTGCGATCAACATAATATATTGTTGCAGATGAATGAACATTGTTAATTGATCACAGGGATATATGTGCAGATTAGAATGAATTTAGATTTGTGCAACTATAGAAATAACACAGAAGAAAATTTAATTATGGTAGTATTTTCAAAGTTTTTATTTTAAATATATTATACACACTTATTTTTTTATTTAAAAAACAAATAAATTTTATATCATCCAACTGTCCAATAAAGTACAATTTTTAATTAACAAAAGTAATGGGACATTTGATTAAGCTGGTATAAATTTAAAAAAGCTAACTTTTACACATGGCCAACTACTACTAATAAAACAAAATCTGAAATTTTTTTAAGTTGGTATAAATTTAAAAAAGCTAACTTTTACACATGGCCAACTAGTACTAATAAAACAAAATCTGAAATTTTTTATTGCAAACTTTTTTATTTATTTGAACAATTAAACATTTTTTAACAAATAATCAACCAGAAGTGATATTTTACTTAACTCTTTCACATCAAGAGACGACCAAATCTGTTTTCAACAAACATCGAAAACGCCCGTGTTTACGAATTTGTCTTGGAATAGTTTTCCTTTCCCTCTGCGGTTTCATCCATTGTGTGCAGTTTCACCTTAGGGCTGGATTGCAGCTGCGAACGTTAATAGCTTTCCGTATTTCTCCTTTATTTGCTTCAAAAGAATGATTGACATGTCTTTTTAACAACTCGCGAAACCAATGAGCCATACACTAACGTGGAGGGGAAAGAACTAGGTAGAAAATAAACGAGGCGCTGGGACGGTTTGCCGTTGCCTGAATGAACGGCCGTTACGGGCGACTTCGATGTGAAAGAGTTAAAGCTCATTGCTATTTAAAATACAGAATTGGCAGCAGGTCATGTGTTGGCCATATCAGACTTTTTTTTTTTTAATAAAACAGAAATTTATTCTTTTACAAGAATATTTTACAGAATAGTTTTATTAAAATGTTCAATGAATTTGGAGCTATTCATCTGACAATAAAAAGTGAGAGGAATAGAGGTATTATTTCATGTGCGGAAAACTTGCTACCTTACTGATCGGACTATCTTGTTAGTTAGCTTGAAGTGATCATGCTAACTAACAAGATTTAACTGCACAACCTGTTTTAGCTATTATTTACTAAGATATGGCACTAAATTACTATAATAACTACACTCATGTCCATAAATTAAGGATAATTCGGAGTCACGTGGAAATCAAACTCTAAAATAAATATATCACCTGTAAAATCACTACACACATCATCAAGAATCATATGCAAATTTCAGGAAGTAACCAGATGACACCGATGGTACGTCACAATGATGAGAATGTAAGAGAGTGATATATAAGGAATACAGGCAAAGAAGTAAAATTGTTCGCAGGCGCTTTGTAAGCATTTCAGTGCAGTAACCGAATAGTTATGACACAAAGGACACATTTGGATGATTTTTTACGTGGTAGAATTATCAGCCGTCTGGAATGTGGGCGTACCCAACTGGAAGTATCAGACGAACTTGGAATTGACCAGAATGTCATCTTCAGGCTTTGGCAACGATTCCAAGATGATGGTAATGTGAGTAGACGTCACAGCACAGGATGTTAAGATGTTACACGTAACAATCGAACGTAAGAACTGTAGTTTCCAGCCTTTATGATTGGTTGAGTAGATACGATGTGAAGGGTCTGAACTTTTTCTTTCTTTGCCTCGAAGTTATGACTGTAATCTTGAGAAATAGTATCAGAATGAGACCAATATTCTAGAGATTTGACTAACCATGGAGGGCCGTTCCACCAAATTTCCAGGTTTTTTAGTGTTGATGGTGAAACATCTCGAGAAAGTTTGTCAGCTGGATTGTCTTTGCCAGGGCAATGTCTCCATTGTGAAGGATTAGTATAGGAAATAATTTCTGTTACTCTGTTGCTAACAAAAGTTTTCCACTTTGTTGGGGTCACTATGCATCCACCCTAAGATAACTTGAGAAAAACACTCCAGAATGTTGCATTTGACGAACAGATGTTTGTTTCAGCACAGAAATATTGCAACAATCGTGCTCCCATCAGGGCCGCCAAGAGCTCCAACGAGGTAAGGTAACTTTCTTTATAGGATGCTAGTTTGTTATGCGACTACACACTAAAATTCACATTCGATTGGTCACCTTTAAAGGTAACAATGTACAGAACTGAACCATAGGCACGTTCAGATGCGTCACAAAACACATGAATAGCAAAAGGAACATGTGATGAAATGCCTATGCATCGAGGAATTTGAAGGGAGCAAATGTCATCAAGTTCTTTTACAGCTGCATACCATAAAGTTGATAAATTAGCAGGTAGTAATTCATCCCACTTGATTCCAAGAATCCATGTATCTTGGAATAAGATTTTCCCAAGGATAGTAAACGGTGAAAAAAGTCCTAAGGGATCATAAAAACTAGCAATGCAGCAGGAGTAACCATCTCTTTGTAAGTGGTTTGTCTGTAAAAATACAGAGGGAAGTCTTGAATGCATGCTTCAAAGTACAGTCAAAAGTCATTAATCCGGACTCGTCGGGACTTCGGCGATTCCGGATTATCGATTTTTCCGAATTATAGATCATCAGTTTAAATCACGTAAGATGATATGCAGAAATTCTAAAATTAAAAATATGAAACCGTAATTTATGAAATAAAGAACAATTATGATCTAAAGGGTATCAAAATTTACAAAAAAAAAAAAGCTTAATATTTATTTGTTTACTTTATTAAACATTTCTTTCAATGTAAGTTGTTTAAGTTGCTTCGTTTTATGTGATAATCTCTTTAATTCTATAAACAGACATAATTTTTTGTACAGTTACAAAGTTCCGCTGTTCAAGTCCTGTTAATTGCTGTGCCGAGAATACCGACTAACTTGTCAATCGAAATTTTTTTGTTTTCACTAACCTCTCTGTCACATTCTTCATGTTTTATCCATTTTTTGCAGCAATTCCACTTTTTGTTTGATGGACATCGAAACATACTTTCGTTTTGTACGATCCTTTGGGAGCTCCAGAATCGGAAATTCTCTTTGACATAACCGAAAGTTCAAGTTTACTTTTATAGTATTGCTCTTACAGTCTGCAAAAAATAATAAGCTGGATCCTATTCAAAAATTAAGGAACAACGCAATCATCAACATTAACTGAAATAGATAATTTTAGCTGATACCATCCGTTATACATAAAACGCGCACGCGAAAACGTATTCTGCACTTGCGCACACGCAAATGCGCAGTCGTTGTTGGCTTTAGTTTTCCACATGCAAATTTTGATCGGAGGTCGATCGACGGTAAGCTAACGTGGTTGCCGCTGATTGGCCAATGACGTCAAGATCGGCAGGTTGGCCGCGTATAATATATATGTACGCCGGTATTGGCGAAAGTTCTTGTTCTTGTTCTCTTGTGTGATTATCAGTTAGCATTATGCTAGTTTGCTTTCAATCTAATGATTTTAAATGTAAAGGCTACAGTGTTAGCTCTTTTATTTTATTTACGGAATAAAGCATGAATTTTATTTTGTTTAGTCTTAGCTTTATTTAAGGGAAGCAAATTATGCTTTGCCTTGATCATCACTCCCAACAGGGTTATGGGCCCAGCGCCAACAGCTAATCAATCATCCAGTTCAACTCAGCATTGAAGGAATGTAGGTGAAGAGGGCCGTTATCCACGAAAAGAAGCTGACCTGTCTTAGAAGTTTGTTCAAGTCATCGTGCTCACACTTAATTGAAGATGTCATTACTACCTGAAGGTTTTGAGTTGTTAAACCATGACAACTGGGATCGATGGAAAGTCGACATGAAAATGCTGTTACTGGATAGAAATTGTTGGAGCTTCATAGAAGACAAAGAAGAAGAATTAGATAAAAGTGCAACAAGGCGTGAAAAGCAGGAGTTCACACTGAGAGAGAACAGAGCCTTCACTACATTATATTACGGAATTAAAGCTGAGTTCAGGCCGCTGATACAAGAATGTAAGTGGTAAAGAAGCGTGGGAAGTTCTACAGAAGCAATTTGAACTCAAAACAAGAGCAAGGATAATTCAGTTACTGGATGAATTTTTTAGTATTAGATATACGCCAAATGAAGAAATAGGATTATTCATCGCAAGGATAAGAATGACTGCAAAGAAGTTGGCTGAAGCTGGTCACAACTTGGAAGATCTTTTTAAAGGATTTCAGGCAATAAGGAGATTACCCCAGGAATACTCCGGCATTGTACAGTTGATATATAGGTGGAAGGACAAAGATTTTACACTGGAAAGAATTGCTGAAGAATTGGTAAGGGAAGAAAGCCGACTTCGCCAGGTAAACGCCGATTTAGAAGACAAGGTAAGCGTGTTTAATACTATTAGTTTAAACGCAGGGAAAGATAAAGTTGAAAATAAAACTAAATCTAAGAAAAAAATGGGGAATATGAGAATAGGACCTTGTTTCAGATGTCATAAATTTGGGCACTTAATTCCTCAATGTAAAGAAAATGTAAGTAAAAATCAGAAGTTTAAAATAGACGATAAAAATGGACAGTTTAAAGATAAATAATTAATGTTAGTAGAAAATTATGTAACAACTACAGATAAAGGAGGTAACGCAGATAAATTTAATTGGGTCGTAGATACTGCAGCTACGACTCATTTCTGTAATAATAGAAATTTAATGACAAATTTCGAAGAAATAAACGATATACGTATGGATTTAGCTGTAGGAAATTGTGAAAGTAAAGTACTAGGAAAGGGTACTGTCAAATTTGCAGTAAAAGTAGGCAATCGAATAAATTGGATTGAGTTAGATAATGTGTTATATAATCCAAATCTAAGAAGAAATTTATTATCGGGAGCAAGGTTAGAAAAGGCTGGTGCTTATTTTATGATTTCAAAAGGGAAGATGTGGATATACTTTAATAATTAGGATAGATTATGCTACGCTAAACGATATGACAGACTTTATCACGTAAAACCATTTAGATATGCAACAGGTAAAAGGGAAGCTGGTTACGGTACAGAAATTGGAAAGTTAAATAAAGTAGACGATGCAATGCTATGGCATCGGAGATTTAGCCACGTAAATTTTGATTATATTAAGAAAACTAGTAAGAATCAAAAGCGTGAAAGAGGTACCAGAAATTGAAAAACCAATAGAGAGGTGTAAATCGTGTATTATTGCTAATCTAGTAGAATAACTTTTAAATCTGTTCCGAAGAGATCGGATAAACCATTGCAGTTGGTTTATTTAGACGTTTGTGGCCCACTACCAGTTCCATCTAAGGGTGGGAGTAAATATTTTCTTGCTATTGTAGATGACTATAGTAGATTAGTAACAGTGTATTGTATGAAAAATAAAAACGAATCCTTCTACAACTTTAAGAATTATCATAGGCAAATGGAAAGACTGACGAAAAGAAAATTAATAAGTATACACACCGATAATGGTGGGGAATTCTGTAACAGGCAATTCGAAGGGTACTTAGCCGAAAATGGAATTAGTGTTGAACGCACGAACGCGTACACCCCAGAAGAGAACGGTGTGTGTGAACGTTTTAACCGAACGGCATTAGACGCAGTTAAAGCTATGCTTAATGATGGTAAAATGGGAAAAGAATGGTGGGCAGAAGCTCTTGGCTGTTTCGTACATACGTGGAACAGAGTATGTCATAAAAGCAACAGAACCCCTTATGAAATGTTCCTAAATAGAAAACCCAGTGTTGTTTATTTTAAAGTATTTGGTTGTAAAGCCTATGTTGACGTGCCAAAACAGATTAGGAATAAATTAGAAATGAGGTGCAAAGAAGAAATCATGGTAGGATATGCGAAGGAAACTAGGGGTTATAGGATATGGCTGCCAGAAGAACGCAAATTAATAGAAACCTGTAATGTAAAGTTCGATGAAAAACTGTATGCAGCAAATGGCATCCTGGAACAGAAATCAAAACCTAAATTAAAAAGACTAGAGGAATCTGAGCTATAAGCAGAATCAGATGAAGAACACGAAATTTCTAGAGAAGAAATAAAGTTGTCAAATGACAAATCTACTCCGAAAGAAGTATCAAACTTCAAAGAAACTGGCAAAGAAAAGCAGTTAAAAGGCCAGATGGAACACGTACAGACATATATTATTATGTAGAGGGAACAGACCTCCGTTTTAGATCCTATAATGATATTGAAAAGTATTGTGAGGCAAGAAATATTAAATATGAAAAAGATAAGTTCGATTTTAGTGGAAAAAACAAATACTCGGGGAAAGTTAATTTCGTAGAACAGGAGATTAGCTCTGTGTCTCAAGAGGCAAATTCCGTAGAAATAGTTATCCCACAAAATTTTAAAGAAGCACGAAAATCAGTAAATGCCGAAGAATGGGATAAGGCAATGAAAGAAGAAATCGACACAATAAAGAAAAGAAAGGTTTGGGAATTAGTCGAAAAGCCAGAAAATAAAACTATAATACGAAACAAATGGGTCTATACGCTAAAAAGAAATGAAAAGAATCAAGTGGTTAGATACAAAGCACGCTTAGTAGCACAGGGATTCAGGCAGAAAAGAGGTGAAGATTTTGATGATGTTTACAGTCCTGTAGTAAATTTTTCAATCATAAGAATATTTTTCAATATACTGGTATGTTTATATGGATGGACTAATTAGATGTAAAGAACGCATATTTATATGCAAACCTAAATGAGAAAATATATATGACCCAACCAGAGGGATTTATCGAAGAGAAAAATAAAGTGTGTTTATTACACAAGGCCATTTACGGTCTACATCAAAGCGGCCGTGAATGGTTTTGTGAATTTGAAAGTACTTTAGAAAATCTACATTTTAAGAAAATACAATGGTGTAATTGTGTTTATAAGGGTTCAAATGTAATTCTCTTGTTATATGTAGATGATATTGTGATTTTTAGTAACGATCAATATAGTATAGATAAAGTAATTTCACAGCTGAGTAAGTTTTTGATCTTAAAGTATTAGGCAAAACTAAAACGTTACTTGGAATTGAATTCTTAGAGAATGAGAATGGGGTTTTTATACATCAGCAGAAATATATTGAAGAAATTTTTGAAAAATTCAAACATTTCCAGATACCAATAACTTCACTTCCCATAGCTAAGGGCACTATTCTTACAAAATTAGATTGTCCATCTACAAGTGCAGAAATTGCGGAAACGCATACATTACCCTTTAGAAATCTGTTAGGATGTTTAGTTTTTGTAGCTAACAGGACAAGGACTGATATTACATATGCAGTGAATATCTTATCACAATTTCAGGAGAATCCTGGAATTAGGCATTGGGAAGCATTGTTGAAATTGCTTGGTTATCTCAATAGTACTAAATTATATAAGTTAAACTTATCGAAGATTAAACATCTAAATTTATACTGTCCATGGTCCATGGGAGGATTTATATTATATTTACATGAAGTACCGGTAATCTGGAAAACTGTTAAACAAAAATATGTAAGTTTATCAACCATGGAAGCGGAGTATATCGCCTTATCTGAAGCAGTGAAGGAATTAATGTGGATGAAAAATGTCTTACAAGATGAAATTTTAAAGTTTAATTTAAGAGAGTGTAAACTATTTTGTGATAACAAGTCTGCCATTGATTTTTCTAGATCGCCAATAGAAAATCGCCGAACTAAGCACATAGACGTAAAATATCACTTTGTTAGAAGACTAGTAAATGATGGAGTGTTTGACCTTGAATTTATCACCAGTAAATTAAATACTGCCGACTTATTTAGAAAAGCAGTGACTGCTGTTAATTTAAGAAAGTTTTGTTTAGATGTTTTCAGTGTTTAAAGACAATGAGTGTTTTCGTATAATAGAATTGAACTATGAACTTCTGTGAAAGTTTTGTTTTTGTCTTTGCATGGGGAAAAGAGGGCAGTTTGTTGGCTTTAGTTTTCTACATGCAAATTTTGATCGGAGGTCGATCGGCGGTAAGCTAACGTGGTTGCCGCTGATTGGCCGATGACGTCAAGACCGGCGGGTTGGCCGAGTATAATATATATGTACTCCGGTATCGGCGAAAGTTCTTGTTTTTGTTCTCTTGTGTGATTATCAGTTAGCATTATGCTAGTTTGCTTTCAATCTAATGATTTTAAATGTAAAGTGTTAGCTCTTTTATTTTATTTATGGAATAAAGCATGAATTTTATTTAGTTTAGTCTTAGCTTTATTTAAGGGAAGCAAATTATGCTTTGCTTTTATCACCACTGCCAACAGTCGTAAGAGGTCTTACGCGCACGCGTAAGCGTCTATGCGCATGTGTCAACGTGGCGCATGCGCAGAAAGTTTTTAGCTTTGAGGTCCGGATTTTAGATCATTCCGAATTATGGGTGTCCGAATTAACGACTTTTGACAGTAGCATCTTTTTTTGCTCTTTACCTTTTGTTTAATAAATAAGCTTTAAAAATAATCAAATTTGTTTTGCTTCTAACTCTTCCTTTGCCTGATTTTGCATTATCCTTAATTTATGAACATGAGTGTAAAACAATACATTTTCTAATATGACATGAGAAATCGAAAAATTCCATACAAAAGTAAAATGAGTGTTCCCAGATTTCAAATTCTGCAGCTTTTCCAAAAATTCAGTTATTTTTGATGCAGACTCAGAGTCCTCATCCTTTAAAGAAACAAGGAGAAAAAATCATAATTATTGCTATTAAAATATATCAAATTCAACTATGTAATTATATTTAGTTAACATTTGCAAAAATCTTAAAATACCTTTAAGTACTGAATTTTTTGGCTCAAACCAGTGTAAGTTCTCTCAATAATGCCTTCAACTGTAGTCACAGCTACAATAAAAAAAAAAAAAAAAAAATGTACACTCATAGAAGATAATCATGAAAGTTAATGCACATACATATATATGCTCTCCCTCCTCCCACAACAAGAACACTTTTCTTACTTCCTTCTTGAGAATGTGATGGAATTTCGAAATCTAGCTCTGGAATCATAACAGAAGCCCATTCTGTCTTCACAACAATCCTGGCCAAATCCTTTAGAGAACAAATATAAACATGAATAATTTCAGCAAAAAGAAAAGTCTCAGCATTATAAAAACACAATAAGAATAAATTAAATTAAATCTTGCTAGAGTAAACCTTATAATGAATGAACTTTTTGTTTCCATCCGATTTCCTATAGACTTAATATTGTTTTATATGGCTAAAGCAAACATCGAAATGTGTAAAAATCAGATAGTATAAGGAACCTTTTCAGATATCTTTTGACAGAAATAATTTTGTATTTGCCAAATTTTATTCCCAGAATTTCTAGAACTCGAAACAGAAAAATTACTAACCGCTCGTCATGCATCTTCCATTCATGATGCAAATCTTCCGTGCAGAGATGTGAAGCATGCATCACGGTCTGGTTCGTAATTTCAAACATATTTTTTTATGATGATCATTGTCTCTTTATGTTGTTTTTTCCTTGTTTTTGTTTTACTTCGAATAATAAGCATGTTTTCTCACCTTTCTTTCTTGACTTTTATGTTGTCACTACCACACCAGGAAAGCATTTCTGACCATGCATTCCTATGTTATTTCCCATCGTCTAGGTGTACTCTATCTCTCCTGAAAGTTTGTCATCGCTATACTGATACACCCTGTATATATATGTGTGTTATATAAATAATATATATATATATATATATACTTTTGGTGCTGCTGATTGCAATAAAAAAGGAAAGTGCACATATAAATGTTATAGCAGCCCCTTATACAAAATTTCAGTATTTTACAGCTATTTGTTTTTGAGTTTTTATACATACACACATACAATGTGTATGGATGTCATGGAAAAAATCCATTTTAAATCTTTTTACAATCCGTTCTGGAAAAAAAAGGCCCTTTATTCAGTGTTTACTAATAGACATTGTGCAAAAAATAGCCAAAATGGATATTTCCTTTGAAATATGACACCCATTTTTTTTTTTTTTTTTTTTTTTTTTTTTTTAAATTACAATACTTCCTATACTTATACGAGTACAAAGGACTATGTAAAGCAAGTGTAACCCTCATTTTCTGCAAAACCAGGACATACAATAGACACACCTTACAGTGTTCAAAGGTGACAGGAACTGAACCAAAGAGACATTAATCTTCTAAATAATTTGAATTGGTTCTTTGATTCCATTCGAGTTCTTGGACTGAGCTGACGGATAGCATTCTGTTCAAGGCCGATGTTTATTTATATTTGTTAAATGCATATTTCTAAAGAAATGTGCAAGTGGATATATTTTTAGATAGAAACAGTAACTGGAGGAAATGATCTGAGCCATGACTTTTATGCTAAGCAAATTTTTGTGTAAAATTATTAATATATGATGAAACAGAAACACGATGAAAAATGAAATTTAGTAATTGAGAGTAATAATAATTGTAATTAACTTTTAATGTTTTTTAAATTAAAGTTACCATTAACTTCTTTTGGAAAATGTGTCAGTGCTAACTGCCTATTCTGTATGATTCATCAATCACATTTTACACTACTTTGTGAGATGATGAATTTTTTCTTGTCAAATGAGATACAGCAAACCACTGAAATGGACAAAATATTTGGTCCATTGAAGTTTGTTATAGTAAGATTCAACTGTACATAACACAAACAGCAATATACATGACAAAAAGAACTCTCACCTGAGGTGACAATACATTCAGCTTGTATGAAACTCCTTTTTCTTGGATCTTAGCAGCTGGCTGTAATTCATTATTCTCCCAATGACAGTGGTTACATGAAAATGACATAATTACAACTTCCTTATAAAATGGAATTTTTGTTAATAATAGCCTAGTTGTACCCTATAAAGAGAATAAAATATAATTAGTATCTAATCAGCAAATTATCCCACATGTTTTCAATTTAATTGCAAGGGCTGATTAAATTGGTACTATTATTGCAACTACCTTAGCAAAAATCAGCAAAGCTTCAGAATACACCAAACTCTGGTTACCATGTGCTTAACAACTATTCAGATAAGCATGCATATGACAAATATTGTTTCCAACATTGATATTTTCGTACCTGTTCTTATTGTTACATTCCAATTCCAAAGGCTATAGAAAAATTATGATTATTTTTTCTCTTGAACATGATTTTAAAATTTGTGTTTGAATAATTTTCCCATAATAGAAGAAAGAGAGGTGAAATTTCTGCAAGAATATATTATTTTGCCACAAAATCACTAAAATAACAATGCTTTGAATTCTTGCCAAACCTGCCAATGAAGTGGTTAGGACGGGAGTTCGGACATTGACGAAGAGTATAAAAGCACGTTGCAATGGTACTTCAAACATAATTGACCTGTCAGCAGCAGAATCAAGTTGCCAAATTGCCAGGCCTTTGGGAATAATACCATTAATGAAAGAACTGCTGGCAATGGTTCCAGAAGTTCAGGTTAGGAGATATGTCTCTTAGTGATGCACCACGCAGTGGTCAGCCACAAGCGCTGAAAGATGAGGCCCTGAGAGCAGTTATAGAGAGTGACAGTAGCCAAACATGTGGTGAGCTTGCTGCACACTTCCAGGTATCTGATGAAACAATTAGATTCCATTTGTACAGCATAGGAAAGGCATACAAGCTAAGCAAGTGGGTACCACACACACTGTCCGACACAAACAAGCAACAGTGTGTCACTGCCCGTTTGTCACCACTTACTTGGCACCGCAATGCATCCATATTTCATTTAGTACTCACCAGAAATGAAAAGTGGTCCAGTATGACACACCTAGACATTGGTCGTCACCACGGGACACTGTGCCTCACACTGCAACACCTTCTCTCCAACCACGCAAGATTACGCTCTTTATCTGATGGACTAGTTGTCAAGTGGTGCACTATGAGTTCCTGCCAGTGGGTCAAACCATCATGGTAAGCCTGTACTCGCAGCAGTTGGAATGTGTGCATTAGGCACTGATGCATAAAGAGCCAGCTTTGGTCAATCCTAAGGGTGTACTCCTCCTCTATGACAATACTAGGCTGCATGTGGCTTGGGAGGCCAGGGATACCATCCAGCGACTGAGCTGGGAGACACTACCCCATCCACCATGCTCCCCAGACCTTGTGCCAACAGACTACCACCTTTTTCATAGCCTGGACAACCATCTTTGTGGAAAATCCTTCAACAACCGGCTGACCTTGAAAAGGTCCTCACAGACTTCTTTGCATACTCCTGAGTTTTACTGCGATGGCATCGCACAGCTAGCCACTCGTTGGCAAAAGGCACTGGATGCCTATGGTGATTACTTTGAGGATTAGCTGCGATTATTATCTGACTGTCCAAAACGGCAAGAATATATTTTGTTTCCTTGTAATTGTCACCGGGTTTACTGATTGTCCTTTGGAATAAATATATAGGTGAAACATAAAATATACATGCAATAATATGTATGTATGTTATGTATAGTTACTTTTATACTCATCAACCCACAATTAATAACACTTTTCATAAAATATGTCTTATCATATATTCAGTGATGCTACATGCACTTCCTCGCTGACTACATGAATTTGCAGATATCTGGCCAAACCCATGGCAATTATTCTAACGAATGAATGGGCAGATTGCTCTTTATTTACTAAATATTTCTGACTATAAGCCAAGCTGTGTGTAACCTGAGAATGCATTTTTTTCTTCAAAAATTTACACCACATTCAAAACTTGCACATAACTCATATGTATGGGTTTTAATGTTGAATCATGTCACATTGAAGTCAAAATATTGCCAAACAGGTAAAATGAGTATAATATTTTCTAATCAATTTTGCTGTAAAGTAAAACACCCTATGCAAATAAGTGTGAACAATGGTAACCCTATCTGAAGCTAGCACATTTATTCCATTCATTTGTTGTCTAGTATATAATCTGTGATATCTGCACTAGTCTTATTTTCTGTGCCATATTATTTTTAGTCTGAAAGATGAGTGGAGAGAGAAATTCTTACACAGCAAATTTCAAATCACACATGATCACATTTGCTGAAAATTCTAACAGTGTTGTTCTTCAGCATTTCTCTGTAAATGAAAAACAAGTTCCACAGTGGGGAAAGCTGGGTAATTTTACAAAAAATCACCCAGCTTTTAACCAGCACCTTGAGATCATGTTTTGGTGATGACACAACAAACTAGCATTATAAGCAATTTCAAAAATAAAACAACTCATTTTCATAAGACAAATAATTCATTTAATTTATGATTTTTTCCCCCATAAACTACAAAAATGAAAAAGTGATATTTAGCAATTTATCACTTGCGCCCGGCTAACAGAAAAATACCTACATTTTTTGCAAGAATTAGCAGACCTGTATAAAAGTCCACCCCTTTAACTTTAGAGAAAGATCCAAAAATTCTCAACTTACACATGGAAATATACAGTAAATAGACAAAAGTTACAGATGGATATAGCACATACAAAGGTTAACTAAATATAAGTTCAAACTTGCACCAGGTAAAAATCTGGAAGAAGCAAATCATTGTTTATTTAGTCAGAAAATCAACAAATAAATTGGCTTATCAAGGATTAATTGAGGTTATATAAATCCTAGGTGAAGATCTTTTAAGTGTGTTGGAATGTCAAGATGATCCATTGCTAGGCAATAAATTACACTTTGACAATTTTTTTCCCTAAAAATGCTCAAGAAAGCATGTAAATACTTTCTCTTCCCATATCTACATCTGTGAAAAATTTATTAATTAGCTTCAGCAGGCAAAGTGCAGAATCCCCCTCTGCTTGGCGCGCTTTTAAGAATTGCCCATACTCGATATCCATGTACACATCGACCTATTTTCACTTAAAAAAACATACCAGAATTGCACAAAAACAGCACTGCGCTCCCTTGACTTTATCCATGTACACATCAAGCTATTTTCACTTAAAAAGTCAAAGAAAATTGACAAAAATCCAATTCTTCATACTCTTGTAAAAAGCGCCAAACAAATAAGTGCACTTTACCCGCTTCAGCTACATATTCTGCTGAATTCAAGTGCTATCACAGTAATCAACAGCCTAATATGACCCTAATATTAGAGCTTAAATGATTTAATAATATTAAATCCAAAGGCTGTGATTTACTTGTTCTTTAAACAAGCAAAATTAATAAAAACATTAATCATACCTTCAGGTAATATGACTGCCATTTAAATACTGATATAACCAGCTACATAGACAAAAAATGAAAAATAGAACAAAGAGCGGAACAGCTTTAGTATTGGTCCTTTTGGCGATTTTTTTATTTGGCGACCAACTTCGGTCGCCAAGGTAGACCCGGTTTTGAAAATCCGAAAAAAATGGCGGATTGTCAAAACCCGATCTAGCTAAATAACAATCCTACAAAAATAGCTCTTAATCAGAATAAACAGTCTTTCTCTATTTTCTATTTTTTTGCTATCAATTCTTCACTATTAATGATTTATGACAATTATTATTTATGAGAAATGAAATTTAACGAAATGTTATATTTTTAATTACAAATATAAGTATTAAACATTAATATTTTAAGTATTAGTTCATATTATATTTTTACGTCAAAGTCGTTAATGCCGACTATCGGGACTTGGCAGCCGGATTATCGAGTTTTACGGATTATAGATCATCAGTTTAAATATAGTAAGATGGCATGCAGAAATTATACAATTAAAAATGTGAAATTGTAATTTATGAAATAGAGAGCAATTGTGATCTAAAGGGTATCAAAATT